TTTTTTCCTCCTTAGCACTTATTACTACCTAACACATTAGCTGTGGCTTATTTTGTGTAGAGAGCACACCATCCTGATTGGGGCAAGAACAGAAGGCTCCTGAGGGCAGGGCTTGCCTTATTGTTCATCCTCTGCTGTATCCCCAGGGCCTGAAATGGTGCTCCAAGATGTTTGCTGAATGAATGAATGTTGTACTCTAGTGTGAAATCAAGGTCCTGCAGAACTTGGGAGGTTTTGCTCACTTGCCTTCTAACCCTCAATTCTACTTCCAGAGAAATCTGGAAACTTTCAGTTTCTTGTTTCTGTGGAAGTGACTTGTTTTCTCTATTTGGGAGATTTTAGGATTTTCTCTTTGTCTTTGGTGTTTGGGAATTTGACCATAACTTGAAATTCTTTTTCCTGGGTACTCAGTGAGACTTTTTTTTTTTTTGCAGTACGTGGGCCTCTCACTGTTGCGGCCCCTCCTGTTGCGGAGCACAGGCTCCGGACGCGCAGGCTCACCAGCCATGGCTCATGGGCCCAGCCGCTCCGCGGCATGTGGGATCTTCCCGGACCGGGGCACGAACCCGTGTCCCCTGCATCGGCAGGCGGACTCTCAACCACTGCGCCACCAGGGAAGCCCCACAGTGAGACTTTTTAATCCAAATACTCTTGAACCTCGCTTAACGGAAACCTGTCATGTTATTTCTTTGATGAGATCATTGAGTAACATTTCCTGAAAGATTTACTTGAATTTATCACCCAAGCTTCCATTAGCATCTTTAACTGGCGATCATATTTATAATATCCAAGGGTTCTTTCTTGTTCTCAGATTTTTATCTTTCTTAGCACCCTGTTCTTTTTTTATGGATACAATATCTTCATAAATATCTGTAAGGACACTGATTAGAAGGTTGTTTTCCCGCTTTTCTACATTTCGTGGTTACCCAAAAAGGAGATGATGTCATGCCCCAGCATGTGCTGAGTGACACTCTCATACCAGAATTCGGAGTTCTTACTCTGAAGTACCCATATGCACATACATTGCCTGTATTCTCTGTATAATTTCAAACTTTTTAGAGGAGAATCCCCCGTAATATTGCCCAGGGTGGGGTGAAATGGCTGCCTGCAGGATTGTGGGTGTTTGCTGTGTAAAGGCTGGGCTGATAGAGATGTTTGACAGAGGGGTATGGGAGGAGGGCTAGGTTCTTACAGACTTTCAGTGAATCTTCCAATTTTCAGCCCCCTCACTTATTTAGATTTTCAAGCTTCTCTTGGCTTTCTGAGTCCTGATTTGCTCAGGGATTCCTCATCACAGGCAGTCCATTTCTCCCATAGTGTCCTCCTTATGGGTGGGATGCTGTGATTCCCCTGCCCTCCTTCATCTCTTACCCCTCCTCTGTCATCCCATCTGCCAGAAATCTGTTGAGATCTCTCAAGCTCTAATGCGCTTCCTCCATTTTTACTTTTGCTATTGTCGGTTTATATATTTTTTATACTTTTCCTATCATTTTAATGAAGTCTTGGGAGGGAGGGAAAGGGGAAAAAAAAATCTGTGATCAGCCCATCTTGAACTGGAGGGACTTGAAGAGGATTCCACTTCTATAAATCAGGTGATTATGCTCAGAGAATTTAAGTGGCTCCAATTCTAGCCCTACAATTGTAAATTATGTGCCCTTTGAGGATGTCTTTGAAGATGACATCTAAAAGCCTGATGAGAAACGAGGCCCTGCTACTGATATCACTAAATACTTTTCATATCATCTATTACTTTTGGGGGCTACCTAACGCAAACCACTAGAGGACAACTCAACACAGGGATAAGAGGAGGCAGAACTGCCCAGAAAGTTTCTACAAACAAGAAGCCACTGGGAGAACTTTCATTTTATCCCTGGTCAAAATGTATAGCATTTTGGGCTTCCCTGGTGGCGCAGTGGTTGAGAGTCCACCTGCTGATGCAGGGGACGCGGGTTCGTGCCCCGCTCCGGGAGGATCCCACATGCTGCGGAGCGGCTGGGCCCATGAGCCATGGCCGCTGAGCCTGCGCGTCTGGAGCCTGTGCTCCGCAACGGGAGAGGCCACAAAAACAGTGAAAGGCCCGCGTACCGAAAAAAAAAAAATGTCTAGTATTTTATAATCCTGTCACTCCTCCACAGATTTGGTTTAATTTTTATCTTCTCATGAAACTAACATAAAGAAATCAAAGATGTCTGAGACCAGAGACTGAACTAGTTTTCAAAGCATTATTTAATCCCCAAAGGCAAAGCTTTGACAAGATAGCAACTTTGTTATACATTCTCTTTCTTTGCTCCCTCAACAGTTATTTATTTTTAACACAGTTTTTATTGACATTTGGATTGTGAGGTATGGGGGATGTCATGTTTAATCTATAAATTCAAAAACTTCTGAAAAAGCAGAAACGTAAACCATGCCTTACAGAGGGTTTCCACTTTGCTTTTGAAAATGTTGCCCTTAATCTATTGCCAGTTAAACTGCAAGTCAAGTGACACTGGTTTCTGTCACCTGTTATCAGTACCTGTTCAAATTAGGAAGATCTAAAGTCAATTTAGATCTTAGAATTATTTACTCCTCCACCCAGAATGACCCTTTTCTCCTTATCTCCAGTGGTTGTGGGCCAGGAAACAGACCCTCTATTTGCCCTGATCTAAGCAGCTCCTGCTTAGAAAGGAAGACGGAAGGAGTGATCTGCTTTTGTACTTGGTAGGGTTGGGGGAGCCCCATGCAGTGAAGCTCTGCCTTGTCATCCTTAGGAAGGAGCAGATTCATTGACCATTAAGAGCAGAAAGGCCAGGTCTCAGGGATTTCTGATCCTCATGGGGTAAGTGATTAAGGTGACTGTATAAACCTATATAAGCTTATAGAAGAGTCCAACTCTGGGCTTGCTTTGAGGTTTTTCTCATTCCTGTGGTTAGGTGAAAAGGTATTCTTTTTACTGAAATTGCTTCAGCCACCTTCCAGATTCTAGGCTAGTTTTATAGTGTCATTTAGGTTTTTGCTTGTGTGTCACTTTGTTTCTTAGAGATAGAATGATGAGGGTCGTTAGGTTTTCAGGTCTGAGCGGTGTGATCTTGGTAATGACTAGAGTGGGCTGCAGGCTAATTTACCGCTTGGATGAAAGGCTCAGATTTCCCCTTAGTACTATGACTATATTGATGATTTTATCCTTAGATGAGTCTTCCCTCTTGTTAATATTTGAATGGACAGGGACAACTTCCGTTTGGATAAAATTTTATATATTTTATTTAAATAAAACTGTAGGGTAACCCCCTGTGATCCCCACCTCCTAGAATGCACACTTTTTAGAGTCCTCTCCTCCGGAGTGTAGACTGGACCAAGTAACTCGCTTCTAACAAACAGAATGACGCAAAAGTGTTAGGATATCACTTCTGAGAGTAGGTTACAAAAGACCGTGACTTCTCTCTTTTTTTTACGCAGGCCCCTCGCTGCCGTGACCCCTCCCGTCGCGGAGCACAGACTCCGGACGCGCAGGCTCAGCCGCTGTGGCCCCTCCCCTCGCGGAGCACAGGCTCCGGATGCGCAGGCTCAGCGGCCATGGCTCACGGCCCCAGCCGCTCCGCGGCATGTGGGATCTTCCCAGATCGGGGCACGAACCCGTGTCCCCTGTATCGGCAGGCGGACTCTCAACCACTGCGCCACCAGGGAAGCCCTGTGAGTTCTCTCTTGCTCACACTCGCTTTCTGTCAGGAGGTCAGCTGAGCTGGGCAGGAGAGCTGAACTGTTGGTGGCGGAGCAGCCGATTAAAGCCATAAGGCGACAGTGAGAGATCACTGCCCGTGAGCGCACAGGCAAGTCTATAGCTGGAGGAAGGGCCCGCTCCCCCTGTCCCATTTTCCCCAGGGCAAGGTGCATTGTTGGGGGTCAGGACCAAGGTGGGGATCTTCTCACTGGGCAGGGAACCCCAAATAAAAGGCTCCAGCGGTGTGAGGGCCCCCGAGGTGTGTGTACGTGTGTGAGAGGGGGCCGGGAATGGACTAGTCCTGGCTGAGTAACGGGGGTTCTCACACCTCCCTTTATAAGGGGGTCTCAGCAGAGACACCAGAAGAGGACCTTGTCCAAGGTCTCAGATAAAATGACTCTGGGATATAAATATGCAAAAGAGCAAGACTGACCCGGGAGGGCCAAGAGCTTGCCTCAGACGCTGCCGTGCCCTGCTGTCACCAAGTCTGCTGCGGGGAGGGCAGTGTCCCTGTGAGACCTGCCAGGGAAAGCCCTCGCAATTACCTATGGTCAGGCCTGAAAGATGACACGTGGGAGTGTAACCAGGAGCTGGACTCCTTGCTCCCATTCTCTTTCACTCTCGCTTATTTGCTCTGATGAGGCCAGACGCCATGTTGTGAGCTGCCCGAGGGGAGACCCACGGGGTGAGGAACAGAGAGTGGCTTCCAGGCAACAGCCAGCATTGAACTGAGGCCCTCGGTCCCGTAGCCCTTGAGAAGCTGAATCCTGCCAAGGACTACGTGGGTGAGCTTGGAGGAATTTCCTTTCCCAGCCGAGCCTTGAGATGATTAAAGTCTCCGCTGGCACCTTGGCAGTAACCTTGGGGGAGACCTTAGCTGGAGAACCAGCTAACGTGGGCCCGGAGTCCTGACACTCAGAGACTAAGAGGTAATAGGTGTGTGTCGTTTTCAGCCTCTAAGTCCTGGGGTCTTCTGTTACGTAGTGATAGATAACTAAATACACGTGCTAGCGATCTAGCGACCACATCTTGGGAAACTGAATGGTCATGAGCCTGTTTCTAATGATTTGATTCCTTTTCTTTGAAAGTGGAGTATAAATATAATGAGATTGTGTTCTTTCCCCAGCAAGGTATAAAGGAAACTGGTATTGAAAAGGAGAAGTGGGAGGACTGGAATTTTATATACTTTATTTAAATAAACCTGTAGGGTAACCCCCTGTGAACCCCCTGGGTGATGCATTCAAATCTGACTTTTCCCTGTCATTTTCCTTTTCTAGTGCGTGAAGGAAAAGTTTTGAAGTTAGTCCGTTCAGTATGCTACAAAAGAATGGCAGGCTATGCCTTGTTCTTATCCTAAGATGCTTTTTTATGAATTTATCTGTGCCCTCTATTTATAAGTAATATGAACCGTTAAGAGAGGAGAAAGAAGGGAAATGTGAAAGAACAGTCAGCCAAAAAAGACTGATGATAAAAAAGCGGCATTTCAACTCAACACACCCGGAACAGTTCTGCAGGTGACCTTGCACTCCGTGCCTGCAGATGACCTCGCCCTCCATGCCGGCAGATAAACATCTTTGCCTCCAAATCAGCACAGCCAAACCATGCAATGTTTCACACACGTGTCCTGGAAATGAACACACCGAGTAGTGTTTAATGATCAGTGGAGCCAGACAGATGAGACACGACTGATTTGCCTGAACCGTGTCCTGGGTTTCAGAATTGAGGAAGGGTTCATTAAATGACAAGAAGGAAGAACAATGACATTGGGGAAGTAGAGATAACACTTCCTCTTCTTTCAAAAGAGCCTTACCCTCTGGTCAGCCTCTAATGGTCATCCTGTGTAGCCAGAGCCGCCAGAGCTGTGGCCGCTTACAGTGGAATCCTCAACCTTGGCCTCAGAGTATTATGAATTTTCTGAATTCAGGGATAAAGAGCCAGTGCTTGGATTTACTCTCTTTTTATTGCATGTAAGTAAAACCACTCCTTGGCTGATATATGAAGTCGTTGCTTGGCATCGCAAGATGGTAAAGCAGTGGATACCCTAGTGCTCTCTCTAACATAGTGAGTTGTAACTAAGATGTGACTCTTGGGATGTACCGTTTGCTCAGCTCTTCATAAACTTGCTGCTGTCAAGTCCAGTGCTAAAGACACTCTTTAGCTTTGAAGGAGAGAGCTGTGTACTCACTCTGCTTTCCTCTGTTTCTTAAATGGATGTTGTATTGATAGCTGCTGGGACCTCAGACCGTGGCTTTGATTTAGAAAAGCACAATTCAGCATGTGTGTGGGTCCTGAGGAGTTCATTTGGGGAAACACTCTGTGGCCACCCTCTTTTGAGAAGGTGTGTTCTTTGTGGAGAATCCCCCTTTGTATGCAGGCAGCTGGAGGGGATCTTACTTTTAGATAAAATCACAGGCTTGACAAGATATCGCTGTGTGAAAACGAGAACTTAGGTGATGTTGGTTCAGAGGTTTTTACCCAGGGCATCTGAAGCATTTGGTTTTCTTTGCTTGTGTATGTGTGAAGGAAATTTAACTGTAAGAGACAGGGTTATAACCCACCAAGGCATCTTTGACTATGGTAGTGGAATTTATTAGTCTGTAGGGGCCTGTGTGTTCTTAGTACTGTCCTAGGCATTGTATAGTCATACACAGAGTCTGATTCCTCTCCAGATAATTAAAATTTTATGTGGAAATGGAAACAGAAAGAACACAGGTTTCTTTCTGATCACATCATGCAAGTGAGAAGAAAAAGGACTTCAGTTCGTGTATTTCATGGTGTTCTCATTCTTTATTTTTTAAACGTCCCTTTCCTCTCTTTATATATCAAGTGTCTTTTCTGGAGAGGGTCCATGTGTGAACTCTTGCAGGTAAGCTGCATTAAGCAAATACACATCATCTGAGTACGGAAATAGGAAGTTCTTTCCCGCGGTAGCTTGCTGTGGCAATAAGAGATAAGAAATTACTTCATGACTGTTGCCTGAGACTTTCCTTTTTACTCTCATATCCTTCTTAAGCAGCTCACTTCTGCTTTCTATCCGGCATGGAGGCCAGGCGATGTGAGCTGGGAACCCAAGCACAGGCTGATAACTTTGCAAGCAGGTTTAATAGGGTAAATGGTGTGTGAGAGTGCAGAAAAATCCTTAAAAATAAGCTCTTTGGTATTGAAGAAAATCCTACAAATGGGACAATTACTGGACTCTTCAGTGCTCCGGACAGTGCCTGACCCATAAAATTCTCTCAGTCAATGTTCGTTGAATGACTGAATGACTGATTGGGATTGTTCATAAAATGAGTGTGGTAGGGTAGCCTTTGCCCTGTTTCCATTACCCAGGCACATAAGGAACTGCAGGTTGGAAAAGGTCAGAGTGAAGCAGGAGAGGAGGAGAATATGAAGGTGGGAAGAGAAGAAAGCGTATGAAGAAAGGAGATGATAAGAAGCCTTAAAGGTGGCAATATGGTGGTGAAGGTGGAGGTGGAGGAGCGGTAGAGTGGTGGTGATGGAGGTGGTGGTGGAGATACTGGGGGCGGGGGTGGAGGTGATGATGGAGATACTGGAGGTGGTGATAGAGGTGATGGCGGAGGTGGAGGTGGACTTGGTGGTGGAGGGGACTGTGGAGGTGATAGTGGTAGTGATGGAGGTGATAGAGATAGTAGTGATGGAGGTGATGGAGATACTGCAGGTGGTGATAGAGGTGGTGGCGGAGGTGGAGGTGGAGTTGGTGGTGGACGGGGGGACTGTGGAGGTGATGGTGGTGATGGAGGTGATGATGGAGATACTGGAGGTGGTGATTGAGGTGATGGTGGAGGTGGAGGTGGAGTTGGTGGTGGAGGGGACCATGGAGGTGATAGTGGTGGTGATGGAGATGGTGGTGGAGATACTGGGGGTGGGGGTGGAGGTGATGGCAGAGGAGGTGGGAGAGGTAGTGATAGAATGGGATTGGAAGTGGTGGTGATACAAGTGGTGGTGGAGGTGGCGGTAGTGGTGGAAGAAGTGGTGAAGTGGAGGTGATGATGGGCGGGCAGTGTGACATAGTCGGGAAAAATAGTTTTGGGATTAGACACAGCTGTTCAAAATCCGTATGCACCACTTACTAGCTCTATGACCTCTGAACCTGCAAAATGGTGACTATAATAAACTGACCTTTTTGTGTTTTTCGATAAGGATTAGAAATACGGTTGCACGGTGCCTGCCACCTCGTGGATCTTCACCAAATGGCAGTTACCAGTATATTTTCTTCAGTTTTTAAATCGCTATAGCCGCACTTACAGATTTAACCACCAATTTATCTTTTCTTCATGTTTTTTTGCTGTTTTCTAAATTTCATAAATTGAGCATGATTCTTTTAAAGAATTATTTATTAAAAATAAATGTTATATACCTAGTTATCAAGATGGTTAAGCACATGGTGGTATATCTATATAAAAATACTATCAATAAAATGATGTTTATGTCATATATTAAGGCTAAGTTAAAAAAAAGGAGAAACATAACTCAGCTATGTAAAAACACTGCAGAGAAGCAAGATTGAGGTAAATATGTTAAAACGTGAACATACAATTAAGTTGGTTTATAGCTGATAGTTATATTTGTCTTTGTGCTTTTCTATTTTTTTTCAAAAGTTTCGTTAGTGGAGCATATCGAGACTACCTTAAAAATCTGAAAACAAAATAAATGTTGAATTAAAATAAATCAGCAAAATTTTAACTCTTAACCTTCCACCAAAAGTGAAACAAAAGTAGTTTTTTAGTTACAGTGTGCTGAAGTTTGTGGTTCATTGCAATGGATGAAATAACACAATGTATGTTATTTAATTTTCATAGGGGGGTCTCCTTTGAGATTAAGACTGGTGCAGAATCGTGTGACAGTTCTAAAGTGGGAACAGTGAAAAAGGTCCTCTCTGGGACTGACTGGTCTACTTAGTTCCTAGAATGGCATGAAAAAGGGCAATTTTGTCTATATGATTTACAGCTGCCTCTAAACCTGTATTGGGTGCTTTTCTAGCAAGTTCAACGTCAATTTGATAGTTCTAAATTAAGTTTAGATTTGCCACCATAAGAGTAATTAGTTTTTAAGGGAATGTTGACTTGTGTTTTTCATCTTGGTGTACCTGGGGAGAGATCAGAAAAATGTTTTTGTGCAGTAAGAAATATTTCTTGTTAGGATCTCGGCCATCCCACCTCCCAGTGCTGGCCTGTCACTGTGGAGGAGGCCCTTATCAGAGACTTAACCGAAATCCAGTATTTTGGCTTATAGGTATTGGAATAAATCTCCTGTCCTTGACTTAGAAATGATCGAGTGAGAGATAATCGGCAGACAGAGAGGCAAAAAAGTGAACAAAGGTGAGCAAAAGACAGATTTCCTAAACTGACACGGGTGTTGAAATAAAAGGACTTGAAAGGTGAACAGTTAGCCAGTTTAAACTCACCCCAAAATGACTAGAGTGTGGATGAACTCTTAAAAAAATTCTGACTAAAAAATGACCAGATCTTCAGTGAGAACTGAAATTTAGATTAGAGATGAAAGAATTAATCAAACAGACAATGGACCTTATGACCAGCTGTAAAAGCCAGAAAGCCCAGTATGGAATATGAATTGAACTAGAGGCAGCAGCATGGTAGACTTTGGAACAGTTGGTCCATAGCATTTGCTCATGTGTGGAGCATTGAATACAAACCAATGATATTATTGACCACTTGCCATATTCAGGGCACTGTAATCAACACTTTCATTTTTACACGAACACTCGTCAAAGCAATCACTTTTCAAAACAATCCTGGGAAATAGCACTACTGTTATCTCCACGAAGCTGAAGTTTCGAGAGGTAAAGTACCCTAACACCACTCCGCTAGGCAGGGGCAGAGATAGGATTCAAACCCAGATCTTTGTGTGTCTCTGAGCCTGTGGCCTAACTACCATCGTACGTGACACTACATTGATTTCATTTGCATTAAAGATTTTCTTATACAGGATAGTTATCTGAGGCCAAGAATTGGGAGACCAAGGGGGAGTGTGAACAGATTCATGCTCTACTTTGAAATCTCCTTAAGGGACATTCCTTTCCATTTCTTGGTTGAAGAGTTTGGAAAGGAATTTTTCTTTTCTTTTCAGGGAGCTACCTGTGCCCTGACATGACTGCACATATGTGGTTGTCAATGTAGCTGCTTCTTAGGCAGCCCTAAAGTATTATGTAAGGAACCAGCAGGAACCAAAGGGGTCTGGAGAGCCAGGGGGGTTCCATGACTTTCAGAGCCATCCCTGGTTAGTCCACAACCTTAGTCAAGATATATAACATTCTCCCTTCACAAGGGTCCCTCCTGTTGCCCTTTTATAACAACATCCTGTTTAATTTGAAAACATCCAGTGCCTTTCTTGAGCGTCACTGCACCCTTAGTGATAATGCTACACATTAGGCTCTATTTATTAGTGGGAGCAGCACAGATGGAGAGGTTAGGAGGCCTAAGTGCCCTGCCTGTGGCATATAAAGGTTGTGTGCTAGGCCTTCAACGTCTCCATGCTTCAGTTTTCTCATCCATAAAAGCTGAGATAAAAATACCTAACCAGTCTGTTTTGTTGTGTGGACCAAATGCAATTAAGTGGAAATGCTTTGAAGAAAGTAAAAACGTTATAAACCAATGGGGCCTTCTGTCTTGGCTCGGATTTTATTTTCTTACCATGTAGAGACTCAGTTGACATACAAGAGCTTTACTGGCATAAGAGGATTAGGTGAAAGGTAGTAGGGGGTGTTATGGGTTAAACTGTGCCTCCTCCCCCAAGAAAAAGTATGCTGAAGTCCTAACCACCAGTACTTCAGAGTGTGACCGTATTTGGAAATGGAGGTGTTGTGGATGTGATTAAATTAAGGTTAATGATCCAATGAGACTGATGTCCTTATAAGAAGAAAGCCCTGTGAAGACAGAGATACCCAGGGAGAAGACCACGTGACGTGGAGAACAGAGACTGGAGTGATGCAGCTGTAGGTCAGTGGACACCAAGGGATCGCCGGCCCTCCAGACGCCTAGGAAAAGTCAAGGAGGGATTCTCCCCTATGGGTTTCAGAGGGGGCATGGCCCTGACAACACCTTGATTTCAGATTTCTGGTCTCCAGAGCTATGAGAGAGTACATTTCTGTTGTTTTAAGCCACTCAACTTGAGGTCTTTTGTTACTATAGCCCTAGGAAACGAATACAGGGACCAAAGAATAAAAGCCATTGTAAATGCTAGTAATAAACTCATCTAATTGCTGGCAAGCACTTCTAGGGACCAAATCCAATATGACTCATTTCTCTGACTTTAACCTGTGGCATTGGGCCTCAGACAGTAGATTTACTACATCATTGAATGGGAATGAACACAGACACTAAACAATGGAACACATTTACAAAATGGAAATCAGGCTATGGTGAAATCTATAAAAGGGCATTCTTTCATAAATTGAGTCTAGCTGGGGATTTCAGACTATTATACTGATGTGGTCATTTACTAGATATGGAACAGTAGTGTCTGTTTGGGAGGATATTTACTTCTCCAAGTTGTATAGTGAAAGAAAAGTTCAAATATTTGGAATTGGAAAATGATGTAATGTGATAGCACTTTGGTCCAAACATAAAACCTAAGGCTCCAATCTAAACCTATAGCAAATGGAAACTCCCCAATTAATGGATGTTGGGTCATTTTAGTGGTTTCATCTGTAATTGTTGATCCCTTTGTTACATAAAGTTAGTTTGGTACCTGCATGGCTATTTTAATGACAGCGTAAATAGCCAGGATTTCAAGCATATTCTGTGTTTCTCTGCAACATAAGAATCCCTTACTTTCTCTTTTCAGTCGAGTTTAAATTACTCTAATTCCTGTTACCATAATTATCCCTAGCAGAGCAACATTCTTTTAGCAGGAAAACATCATTGTAAGCGGCTAATTCATTTAATCTACTCAAAACTAAAAATATCTTTTTGCTTCTCCCCTTACTTGATTTATATTCAATTTTCTTTAGACTTGTTATTAATTTTATATAATTTCTTTCAAAATGCTCAATGGAAAGTTGTGACTGGTTAGATTCTTTCACATTTGAACAAGGTAGAATTTCTTTATTTTCCTGACTTTCACGAAAGGAAATACTTTCTTAGGAGTCTTGTGTACTAACCTCTAATATCACATAAGACGAGAACATTTAACCATTTATAGGCAAATTTATATATTGATACCAAACACTGGTCTAAAATGGGAAAATACAAGACGTCTCAGAAAAAAGGAAAGAAATGGAGCTGACTCAACATTCTTTCCAGGAGTCTCCATTTAACATTATCCACTCCTACAGGATATAATTCGTTATGAGGTGTCAGGACTCAGCCAGAAGACACTTGGCTGCACTTATACGAAGTCACATTTTAAGGAAGAAACCTTTAATTCTTTTCAAAAACTGAGAAAATGGCTGCAGACGTGAAAACCATACTTTTCAGGCTACTTGTTTATGATTATTCTGTTTGGATAGCTCAGAGTATAACACAATATGGGGGAAGTTTGCACTCTTTTTCTGGTCCGATGACCACATGTTGTCTCATTAATTTCTTGAACGTGTTGAAGATTCTGCTAGTTTAGCAAACTAATGGTCGCAACAGGAACATTTTATTAATTCACTTGAAGTACAGGTCAGCTATAACATCTTTGTTCTTTCCACCTGTTAAAAGCCCGAAGCAAATTATGCTAAAGGCCTTATTTGCTGGTTCCTTATTGAACCATAAATCCCAACCTCTCTTACGATCCTGACAAATAGGCAAAGAATTGTTCTCACTTGTGAGAGTGAATATTAATCATACAGTAGGATGAATACCCGTTATTGAACATTTAATAGTCACCAAACGCCTATTGGATACCTCATGTTTTCCATGTGTTTTATTGTAAGAGAACAGGCAAGGTCACCTTTTAAGTTCCCTTATAATCGTGTGAATTAACACTACCTTTTCTTGGTTAGATTCAGTTACAGCCATTCTGTCAAAGAGAAGGTTCTGAACTTGAACTGTCTTGGTGAAATATGTCCAGGGTTTTCCAGCTAGAGCTGGATTTCACCCTGGAAGCTACCAAGCTCTCCTGCACTTGAATTTTCAACTTGATTAATCAGCTGGAGCCGTTTTGCGTAGGTCACAGGGACTTAGAGGGAATTGTCGAGCAAGGTTTGAGGTAGGCACTAGAGCGCAATTGTTTTATTTTGTAGACGCTCATCAACATTCCAAAGTGATGTACAAATCAGTTGCCTTGAGAGGAACGCCAGACCCCTAGCTCTCCTGGGCCGAGAAGCCAGCGCGAGATGAGAGACCCCAGAGCATTCATCAAAGCAGAGTAAGTGACCAGAGCGTGATAGGTTTGGCTATTTCTTCCGAAGTGACTTTGCTTTTCACTTTGGTGTTCCCGGTAACAGCAGAGTCCTAGACTCAGGGTCATTTCCACTTTGCATTAAATACTTTGTGAGCTCTGCACTGGGAGCAAATTAGCAAGATTCTCCTCTCAATCCTGAACTGAGTTCAGACACTGAGCATTGCTGCCTGGCCCCCACAGCCTCATGTTTCTTACCAAGGACGTGCACCTTTTGCCAGTGGATGGAGGCCCCTGGCTAGTGAGGTGTTCTCTGTATTGCTTGGAACTTTCTGGGCAGTGAGCACCACTGAGGCAAGCCTTTGAATGAAGGCAGAAAACAGCATTCAAGAGGGCTCCTTGTTTACGATTGTAGTTTCTCAAACAGGCTGCATTTGTTTCCATGTGCCCAGCGGCTGTATGTCTTGTGTAGTCGGTGCTACTGTTATTGCTAAGAGTTAACGTGTACTGTCCACTTGCTGTCTGCCAGGGAAGGGGTTAAAGGCTGTATATTCATTGTCTAATTTTCTTAACCAGATGACTCTAGGAAGCGCTGTTATTAACTAGCTTCCCTTTTCCTGATGAAGAAACAGGCTCAGAGAGGTTAAGAACCTGGCTCAAGGTCACACAGTAAGTGGTATAGTCAGGATCCCAACCTCAACAATTTGCTTCTGGAGTCAGAAGTTGAACTGGGTCTGCTGGACCTGAGAGTCCAGTAACATATGGCCGCTTTGAGGGCAGAGGGAAAAGGATGCCACGTGATTTCTTATTTTTAGATAAGGCTGCTTTGTGCTTGTTCACCTTTCCATTCATTCCCCAGGCTGGGAATGTATGTAATCTGACCCCATTTGGGCCAGAGGAAATGCGTTTGGGTGAAGAATATAATGCTAAGAGCGCTTGTCACAGATTTGCCTGAGCCGTAAGGAAAATCTCCTTCCTAAAGACATTTCCAGATCACAGCTGAGGACGCTTGGGACACAGAGACAGGACATTTGTTTCTAAGAATTCAGAATGAACAGGGGAAGAAAAATGGATATTAAAAGTTAGGAAGGCAGGATTTTGAGAAGATGTGTTTGAATAGTTTCCATTCATGATTTCTATTTATTATAAGACCAGGAAAATTTCTTCAGAAAAAGAAAAGATTAGTAAATAGCAAATTAGATAAAAGGAGAGGAAAGAAGGAGCTCTTCAGGCAAGTACTTTGCATTCAACCTCGTACTAAATTTATGTTATCAACTATCTTGCTATTTACTTCTTAAGTTTTTAAAATAATTTTTTTTCTGTAGCACGCATGTAATGTATGTTTATTGCCAAAAATGCACACAAACAAGATAAATATTTCCCATGATCCTACCATATTGAACTAATCATAGCTAATATTTTGGTGCAAAACCTTCAATATTTTGTCTTTTTTTCTTTATATATGAGTGTATTTGACAAAAATGAGATATAACTGTACTCTGACATATTAAAATCATATTCCTATCACATTACATATTTTAGATATAATAATTTACCAAATAGGAGTGCAGTTACCAAACTTTTTGAATGGGTCATGATGGATAAGTGAAGAGGTTTTTCTTCATGATAACTGACCATAGAAAAGTTCAGATATTGAGAATTTGCAAATACTGCAAAGAAGTGGCAAGTTTAACACGTTTTAATCCAAAAAGTGGCTAATTGTCATATAAAACAAAACAGAAAATAACAGAAGAGCAAAATGCAGTAGAGGGAAGACCCCAGCATGAATCTGAATAGGCAAGTTTTGGGGTGTCATAGCAGGTGGCAGCGGCTGTCTTTTGGAAAGAGGGTTTTCCTCAGCTGACTTGTCTTTTTGCAATCTTGTTGTGGTGTCTGGTGGTCCTGAAGACTGGTGTAGTACCCTAGTCTCCATGTGTTTTTAAGTCTGTGAGCATCATCAATCATGTGAATTTTTGAGTTGCTTGGCCACAAATGTTATTGAAAAATTATTTCTTAAACATAGAAATTCTCTTATGGTCCCTGAGAAATTCACCAAAAATTTGTTGAGAATTTTCTCTGTATCAGGCATTGTGGAAAATATAAACAAAATATTTTTTAAAAGTTAGTCCCTAGAATATCTTACTAATTTACTGGGGCAACAAAACTAACACATGAGACATTAAATGAAAAGACGAAAGTGATACATGAGTGTCATAATGAACAGTGTAGAGAGTTAGTACTGTAAAAGGTGAATGAACCAGGAGAATTTAATGGTGGAGGAAGAAGTTGAGCAGGATATGAAAGGAAGGGTAAGTTTCAGGCGGATGGAAAGAAGAGAGATGACCATGGAATCAGGGGGAAAAAATACAGAGCTTTTCCGCTGGAGCCAAGACAAGATGGCGCTCATGCCGCTGTATATCAGGCAGCTACACAATGGGAAGAATCTTGGACCACAAGTCACATGCTTTGTTCTGCCAGTTGCTATGTCGGTGAACTTTGGGTTGTTACTTTTTCATGTCTCAGTTTCTCCATTTGTGAAATGGGTAGCATCATAGGGCTACATGCCTCAAAGAGTTTTTGGGGTCTTGCACGAGATGATGTGTATACACATGCTGTAGGTGTCACTTGTGATGGGGATTGACTAGAAATACAGACAGAAGAAGAACACAAAAGGACAACAAAGTAGTTATAACATACCCCAAGCCAAAGTTGAGTGTTTTGAAGACAGAGGGAGTATATCGTTGGGTCAAACGTAGCAAGAGCAAAGGGGAAGTCAGAGGGTTGATAGGTTGATGGCATTGATAATTCCCCTCTGGAGATGTGGAGAAATGAGGGGAAATGAGAAGATGAGGAGGAAAGTGGTTGATGGGGAAATGGAGTGCTTTGGAGAAAGTTTGATGATAAGGATGGGTTTTCATACATTTGTATTTTTTCTAATAAAACGGCACTTTCTTGAGTATTGTGGTCAATGCATCATGTCAAGTCTTTTCATATGCTCTTCCCACTAATTGAATGAGAGGAAAAGGAAATTTCTTCTTTTCTCCTTATTTCACTTATTTTCCCTTTGTATCCCTAGAAGCATATGACACACTTCTCAACAAATAGCTGAAATAGTTATGAAAAAATATTATCATCAATCCAACTGGGTAGTCGTTAGATCTTGGGCAGCAGTTCTAGGCTTATGCATCACATTTTTAAATCAAGTCATAGAGCTATTATAAATTATTAAGGATAAATATTGTATAATTAACTCATAATGAGTTATAACCATGAGAATCAGATAAAGCATGAATGAATCCATACAGTCCGTAAAGGTACATTTCAACGTTTGTGCTTGTGTCATTCCTTTATTAAATATTTAATAGATTTTAACAATTCATGTCATCTTCCTTGTGCATTGAACCTTCTGGTGGACACAAAGCAAAAACCAAAGATGTGTAGCAAGTCAGAGAAGAAAAAACAGAGGTTGGAGAATTCACACACTCTAGAAGAGGCTCCTGAGCGGACCTAATCTGGCAAATTGCCTGCCTAGTTTTGTTCATTATACTCTATTTACACTGTTATTATGGTCAAATCTAGGGCCTTTCTCAGCTCTCATCCTCCTGGATTCAGCATCTGTAGACTTCAAGACTCACGTAGACCTTGTCTGCCTTAAGGACATATACTCCATCTCTCAAATTTCTCCTTAAGCCATTCAACTGTAGCATCTTATTTGATTTACGTCTTGGTTCCCTGTCTTGTTATCTGTGGAGGTTCTCGGGAAGTTCTCTGATCTCAATTCTCTTCAACTATTATTCCACAATATTATTTGAAACCCCCATCTTTCCATTCTTGATCCAACTCTGGTTCCCCACTCAGTTTTCTCTTACTAGCAGGGTTTTTTGCTCATATGCACTGGCGTTGTTGCAACTCACATATGTTTAGAATTGAACTATTGCCCAATATTCTCTGGTTGTTCTCCTTATACTCTCCTGAGTATAGAGAGAGTTCTTGGAGCGTTTCTTGGCGAGTCGAGCAAAACAGAGGAACTTGGGTATAATTTTAGAAAATCATAAGCCCTCTTACTCCCTCATTTAAGGGTTAATTTTGCTTTATCCAATCACACTTGCATTGATATTGTTTACTTGTTCCAGGATCAAGGTAGCTTTGCTGTCTAATACTTCTCTTCCTAGATGACCTAGTCATTCGGGGAAGAAAAGTTGTCTTCTTTTTCCCTACCTGTTCACCCCAATCAATAGCCCCCAGGGAATCTTGGTTGTGGCCAAATCTCTTTTCTCTACCTCTACCCCCAGGTTTCTGTACCTCTTCTTCACGATTACCTGGGCATGTTGGACTAATCCCTCCGCTGAGCCCTATCCTTGGCCTTCCCTCTCAGCATGTGTCCCGTTCCCTGGTGTAAAGCAGAGATTCTCCGATTCTTTTTCTTTCTTGAATGTCTTACATGGTCCGGGGCTTTGAGTAAGTATGACAAAGACTTGGGTTTAGCAGTCTTTCCATTATCCAGTCATTTCCATTGAAAGCCTGCTTTCTGTTCTTCTGGAGAGCCTAGAGAAGTTTCATGTATTGACATTTCAGTGTCTATATTTTCGGAGTGGGCAAATAGAAAGCTGTTTACTCAGAAGTTTTCTTTTCTCCAGCCTTTGTCTGTTTTCGTCTTATTCTTTGGGAAGGAGCCGTCCCTCTAAATCCTGAATGCCTGTTGTGTGGCGCCTCTGAACTATGACTACTTTACAGTCCCCCGAAAATGTGCGTTCGTGCACATTTCCTTAGACTGACTTTTGCTGTCTGTGTGCAGGGCAGATAGTAACGCCCCCATGGAAGAAACCGAGGCTCAGAATGGTGAAGTGACTTGTCCGAGGTTGTAGTACTAATGAATGGCTGATCTGAGGCTCGACTCTAGTTTGCTGTTTCCTACAGGAGGTTTCCCGCTCTGGAGCATTCTATTGCCTGACCTTTATCAGTGAGCTGTCTCTACTGATTTATCATCTAGGTAAAGTTTGAGTTCAAGCCTAATCACCTTCTCCTCC